GATGCACAGAACATTGAGCAGTATCCGTTTCTGGTGTGAGATTGAAATAGAGTCCATCTGCACGGCATCCTTGAATGAATCAAGCAGCTGACTGCATCCGTTTTGGCTCACCTTCAGACTGCTTCTTCTATGCCAAGAGTCCAGTAGCTGGTTAATGCAAGCGTGTAGACAGGCAGAGGATGTTCTTGATAATGGCAGGAGTGGCTACACGATCTGTACAGGCATACATATTTCGATATTTGATAGAGACCACAGACAAGAGTCATTTATGAGTGTAGTCAGTTCGTGTGCCTGATCATGACCATGTAGGATTTGCTCAATTCATTCTTCTGACTAGTGCTTAAATAAATGCAAACTAACTATATGCTTCGTCGCTGGCTTTATGCTTAACTATATCTATGTGTGTTAGAGATGGATAACTCATATGCAGTCTCCTGTCGCGGCATGCTACAGGAGAATATATTTCCATTCAACTGGATCGCATAGAGAACCCTAGAGTATCTATTGTGTACTAAATGCTACTCAAGTGTTATTTATCCAACGAATCACATTTGTCAGTCTGGAGTGATTTGGCATCTGTCAATATCCTATTGTTAAGCACAGTTTTTGGATGGCAGAACTTATTCACAAGGATCTATCAGCACAGCTGGTGGATGTATGTTGACAGCAATTACTGTCTTGCTTGTAATTAAGCTTATATATGTCAATTGTGATTTTTAAGCCTGATGATATATCATTGTGATTTCCTGTCAAACTCAAACAATTTAATTAATTTAAAATTTTTTAGCTCTACCTTAATGAATATTGTACGAACAAAAAAGGCATACAAGGCAATCTGCTGTTTAATTGCATTCGTGGGAGCTACACATCTTAACACTACCAATGGAGTCAATCCAGATTTGAGTGGCATCCAAAGTCCTGATTCAGTTGGGTATGAAGCTTGTACTTCTCAAAAGTGCCGTGTGGATATTGACTACGGATATCCACTTCTCAAAGACATTACATCTCTTCATGATGTGATAGAAGAGCTGAAGTATCTATGTTGTCTGGATCTCAGCAGAAAAGAGCTAAGATCATTACCAGCCGTGATAGAGGAGCTGAAGAATCTACGGAAACTGGATCTCAGTGGTAACAAATTCGAGGTATTACCATCTAATATAGTAAAACTGGAGAATCTGGAGATACTGTATCTCAATGGTAACAAACTCGAGACACTACCA